ATTGCACACTACGAATGCTACTCTCCCATCTCCCCTGCCTCTGTCCGGAGAGTCTCCCACCTTCTCCGCGCATTGTTTCTTACACTCTGGATCAGGCAGGGTGCGATTACTTGATGTTTCATGTGCTTTCCCATCCGGTCGTTTCTGTTTTTTTACAAAGTGGTGATCACGCTGCAGCGCTTCCCTCATTTCCGCGCTTCGGTCATTCAAAATTGTGCTCCTGCTGCAGCGCTGGCCTCGTTCACTCGCCTCTAGACGGCACTTGGTTTTCGAAAGTGCCCACATCGGGCAGGCACGGTTGCGGAGGACATGGAGCCGGCATTCCGGACAGGCCTTGTCCTCCCGTAGACGGGCCGCTGACCCTCCAAGTCATCCAGTGCCATGCCACGGCATGCAATACGATGCTATGTTGTGCACCGCTGCGCGATGCCATGCTTTGCGTTGCTGTGCTTTGTTACGCAATGCTTCACTACGTAACGCCACGCCATGCTATGGCATGCTATGCTCTGCCATGCTCTTCTACGCCATGCTTTCCATCCATCGCGTACACTTTTGGGATCATTGCCCTGGTCGACATCCGACTGCGCGAATAGATAGTAAAATCTACGTCATGGTAAGGGATGGGAGGAAGGGGTAGGACGTCGGATGTGACGCTAGCAAACCTAGCTTGTCCCCCCCATCCCCTCTCTCCCTCACCCCCCCCTCTTCCCGCCCCCCTCCCAGCCCCCCTCTCCCCCCTCCCGTCCCTTCCCCTCTCTCCCTTCCTCCTCTCCCCCCTCCCTTTTCTCCCCCTCCCCCCCTCTACCCGCCCCCCCTCTCCGCCCCCCCTCCGCGCCCCCTCCCCTCTCCCCCCCTCCCCGCCCCGCCCCCCCCCCCCCCCCCCTCCCCCTTCCCCCCCGTCACCCCTCCAGCCCCGCCCCTCACAAGCCCGTCCCCTCCAACACCTTCTCCAACCAAGCCGACCGCTCGGGGGGGCGCCGCTGAGGCATAGGAAGCTGAACTTGAAGCCGTGCAGCGGCTCGGAGCTCGAGCTCTTGTCCGATACCTCGCAGGTCCTGCTCGGGGTGAACGGAACGAGGCGGGACGGCCGCGATCCAGATCGCAGGTGTGCCCAGAATCGACAATTAAAATGGGGGATTGGAATGAGTCGGACCGGCGGAAATCGGCACCTGAGTCGGGAGAAGTCGGATGAGAAGAGATCGCTCGGCCAATGGGCCTCCATGGGAAGTCGGACCCCAAATCGGAATCCCAAGTCGGGCGCGTCGAAATCGGAAGCCATCGAAGTCGAATCGAATCGCACCAGAAGAATCGAAATGAGCCCTGGAGCGCAGGCCCTCGAGCGGCAGCGCCGCGCTGCTTGCCGAGAGGAAAGCGCGGGAGGAGCTTCGGACTGCAGCACTGGGCAATCACCTGCGACCACGCTGGGAAAGGGGGAGACCACTGGCCCCCGGGGAGGGGGAAGAGGAGGAGGAGGAGAAGGAGGAGGAGGAGGAGAAGGAGAAGGAGGAGGAGGAGGAGGAGGAGGAGGAGGAGCGGATGGGGGAGGAGGAGGAGGAGGAGGAGGAGGAGGAAAAGGGGGATAACGAGCGGGAGAAAAAGGAGGAGGAGGAGGAGGAGGCGGAAAAGGAGGGGGGGTAGAGGCCAGAAGGAGGAGGAGGAGACTAGAAATGCAAAGCGGATGGTGAGCGAGAGGTTTCTTTGTTCTAAGCGGATGTGAGGCGATGTGTCAGTATTGTAGAACGGGCGCGCAAACGGGATTCCTTGAGCCAAATGCCAAGGGACCCGCACATGTATGCTGACTTGCTCACTGCGATGCTGCACTAGCAACATACCATTCGAATATGATATTCGAACGACCAACAAGCCACAATGGACAGACCATAAACAGTTGTGGCGACAAAGAATACAAAGTACAAAATAAAAAGTTCGCTTGACCACCACCACCGCCACCACCACCGCCACCACCACCGCTTGTAAAAAGTCAAAGTACCAGGGGACATTATACTGACCAGGCTCATTATGTAAAGCTACAGCGGCTGGGAGCAATCTACTGACCAGGCCCCGGGGTAAAAGTTGCTGTCGCAACTGAACAGAAAGGCTGGCAGCAGACTGCTGGTGGAGCACCGGATAGATCATTCAGTGCTCAACGCTCGCGGGCCTGCTGCGCCACGAACATACTTCATGGTAACAGCCTCTCCCTCGCGGGACTCACAGCGTCGCATTCGCGAACATAGTTCGTAACATGCGAACGCTTCTGTACTCCTCTTTCCCTGATGTCCTGCGTCGCATTCGCGAACACAGTTCGCGACACGCGGGTTGGCCGTCGCACTCGCCGAGTGGGTTAACCCCAGTCGCCGAGTGGGTCACCCCAGTCGCTTCGCCGTTGTCCCTGTTGGGGTCGCTGCACTGAAAGCTCGGCGCCGTCTTCTTGCGCCGCCCCGCGCTCAACCTCACCGCGGCGCGCGCGCGGGCAAACTCCCCCTCCGCGACGTCGAGGGCGAGCTCCCGGCCGACACTCCCCTTCGCCATGGGATCGGCCCTCATGTCGCGGGCAGTACGATGCGTAGGAGTACAATGCGGTCGCCTTGCAGGTTGCACCGCTGCCGATCTCCGCTCCACTCACACGAAGATATGCCCTGCGCACAGCCATGCATACGTTGCGCATGGCGTGGGGAATTCTGCATTTTGGGGATGCGCCCTGCGGAGCTGCACCCTGGGCACCCCCAACACAACATCAGATGCTCCTCGAATATGTGGCCTGCTATGGGGCCCCTGACGCCCCACACCCTGACTGTGTGGCCCACGGGCGACCCCAAGTCGGGGCGGCCGAGGGACGCCTCTGAGAAAGACGATTATTGTGTTGGGAGGAAAGGGTTGGGAAGGCACAGGGCACGGGTTTCATAAGCCCACTCAACATACGAGACCAGACTGATGGCATGACAATCTCCCCCAGCCCCATCCATCCGACCCGATAAATGTCTTCCTGAGCCCACGCTCCTGCCTGCGCACCCCCACCCCATCAGCCCCTCCTCCCTCCCCCCTGAGGCTCATCCCTCCCCCCCAATGACGACACGCTGGCGTCCCACGTCTAGTCAAGAATGCTGACGTCTCACTCCTACTTCCTCAGGCCTTCCGCCGACGGTCCGCCGGCGGGCCAGCCCCTGGGACGCACAAGGACATACTTGTACCACGCATCCTCCTTGGGGGCGTGCGTCCGACCCGAACACAAAGTACAGCGATCGTACAGCGTATCGTTTCTCGAGCGAGGCGGCCGGAAAGCTCGGGAGCGCCCAAGAGGGGGGCGTCCAAGAGGGGGTGGTGCAGGTCATGGCCGGCGGCACGTGCGCGGCCCAGGGGGGGGGCCAGGGACGCAACGAAATCAGAAGAGGCGCCACGAAGTCTGGGGAGACATCATGGCCCAGGCCATGAGATCCACCCCCCCCCCCAGTCACCACCCCCCTCTCTGTGGCGCCGCCCCCGAGGAGCGCCCGCCGCGGAGCTCATGCTGCAAGAGGTCCCTCGGCGCGCGAGTCTTGCCGCGCGCGGGCGGGCGCCGAGCAGGAGCGGGCGGGGCGCGGCGGGGGGGGGAGCGGAGGCGCCGCGGGCGGCGAGGGAAAACGCGCTCGGAGCGCGGAGCAACCTGCAAGGGGCGTTTCGGTTTTTATACTGCGTCGGAGTCCTCGTGCATCGGGTGGTTTGTTGCACGGAGGCGTAGGCAAAGAAGAATGGCATCTCGCGCGCGCGCGCCAGAATGCGTACGACTGCTGTATGCGACTTGCCTTTGTGTAGAAGTATGTTTAATGTATCGTTTTACGACGTTAACCAAACACACACACACACACACACACAAAAAAAAAAAAAAAAAAAAACGGGCACTGGTCAAAATACGCCCATGCGCGGACGATGCGGCGACATGGTCGCGCACTGCCGCCGATGAGCAATGGCGCGCGCGCACCTGAATAGATGCGAGACTAAAAACATGCTCGATCACTGAAGATGGCGACTATGCGATGAGCAGCGATCTCCTAAATACGATTGGCGCGAACGCTACTGCGGCAGCTGACGAGCGAACAGAACACTTGGAGCAATAGGTTGTTGACTCTCGGCGGCGCGCTCGACCGTAGGCGAGCGGATGTGTAAGCCCGCGCATGCAGGCGGCCAACGTCAGGCTGCGGGCGCTGAGACAGATACTCCAAATCTCATAATACAGGGGGGGGGTCAAAAGAGTGTTTGACGGCCGGTCTGGGACCCCCCCCCAAGTAGACCCCCCCCCAGACAGGCAACAAAGGGTCCAAAATCGAGACCCCCCCACACAATTGTGTTTGACGAAGCCCGCTAGACCCCCCCCCCAAAAGCAGACCCCCCCCATTGTTATGAGATCCGGAGTACTCAAGCATTAACTGGAAAGAAGACGCGCGCACCAAAAGTAAGACGCGATCGCGAATCAGGACATGGCGCCGTTAAATACATGACCGCCCACTCGGGAAAATGCTACGCGGCGCGGACGCAGAAACGAAAACATGGTCGAACACTAAGGAAAATGCTACGCGGCGCGGACGCAGAAACAAAAACACTGTCGAACACTAGGGAAAATGCTACGCGGCGCGGACGCCGAAAAAACGCATGATCGAAAACGAAAGAAAATGCTTCGCGGCGCGGAAACGGAAACACACATATTGTCGAAGGTGGCTGTGCTGGTGGTGGCTGTGCTGGCAGTGGTGTGGCACAAGGGGTTCAAATAACACAGATGCTCAAACAAAAAACATAAAATTCTTGGCTGTCGCGTATATATCGCAGCCCCGAGGCGTTGCAGATAACTAGGAATTCTAAAAAAAGGGCGCCAAGGCGCGGCATGACACTAAGCGAGGTTATCTAGCAGGATAAAACACCACGAAAGTTCGCCTTCGTGGTCGCGAAGATCACTGCACTCGTATTTTCGCTGGGGGGTACCACTTATACATACACGTGCGATGTAGGTGGAGATTTAGGTGAAGATTTCAGCAATCGATTTGAATGGAAATTTAGACGAAAGAAAATGAAGATGTAAGTGAAGCTCCAGGTGGCGATGCTGAAAAAAGCTTGACGGAATATTCAGGCGAAGTACATAAAAATGCTAAGATTTTCAGCTTAAATCTTCGCCTAAATCTTCGGCTGAAATCTTCACCTAAATCTTCTAAATCTTCACCCAAATCTTCGGCTCGAATCTTCACCCACACTTCCTGCTCAAAGCTTCACCCAAATCTTCGGCTTAAATATTCACCCAAATCTTCTGCTTCCATCTTCGCTCGCACATTCGGCTTAAATCTTCGCCCGAATCTTCCGCCGCGGCCATGGGACTGGCATGCCGCGTCCAGTGCGATCCGACGTCGTTGGCACAGGAGGAAAAGGAGGAGGAGAAGACCAGCAGGTGGAGAAGGGTGATGAGGAGGAGAGATGGGAAGAGGAGAGTGAGAAGCAGGAGAAGGAGCAGAGAGAGATGCAGAAACACTAAGTATACAAACGCTCTCTCCATCACTTCTCCTCATCCTCTTTCTCCTGATCCTCCTTCTCCTCCTTCCGCTTCCTCCCCGCACACCCAGTAAACCGCCACCCCTGGGCAGATGGTCGGAGAAGGATGCCTTTGCAAGCAGAAGGCGAACTAGGTACGTACAGGAACAATGCCCCGTGGTGCTCGCCTGTGTGCGACATTATGTCTTCGATGATATGGTGCTCATCTCTCTCTCTCTCACTCTCTCTCTCACTCTCTCTCTCTCTCACTCTCACTCTCTCTCTCTCTCTCTCTCTCTGTCTTCAACGATCCGGCGCTGGCCTCTGTGACTGTCTCTGCTGTCCTCGCAGTCGTCGCCAGGGATCCATCTCTTGGGCGCTAGGGACGCATGGGCGTGCCCACGCTGGGGTGGGGTCGGCTAAATCTTCGCCCAAATCTTCGGCGAAAATCTTCAGTCAAATCTTCTGCTAAAAACTTCACCCGAACCATCTGCCGAAAACTTCACCCAGATATTCGGCTTAAATCTTCACTCGACCCTTCGGCCTACACGTCACCCGAATCTTCGGCTTAAATCTTCACCCAATCCGTCTGCTCAAATATTCATCCAAATATCCGGCTTAAGTCTTCATTCAAACCTTCTGCTTAAATCTTCATCCAAATCTTCGGCTTGAATATTCACCCGGATGTTCGGCCTAGTCTTCACATACCTCTTCGGCTTAGATATTCACTCAAATATTCGGCTTAAACCTTCGCCTAAATCTTCGGCTTAAATCGAAACCTAGTTATTCTGGTTAAATATTCACTCAAATATTCGGCTTAAATCTTCACATTAATCATCGGCTTAAACATTCAACTGAATCTTCGGCTTTTATCCTCACCAAAATCTTCAACTTGAATCTTCACCCGAATCTTGTCGCCTCAAATCTTCACTCAAATCGTCGGCTTGAATATTCACCTAAATCTTCGGCTTCAATGCCCACTAAAAAATGTCCTCTTATATCTTCGCGCAAATCTTAGGCTTAAATCGTCACCTGAATAGTCGGCTTAAACCTTCACCTGAATCTTCGGCTTAAGGCCCGCTTAAACCTTCATTCATTTTTCCCTCAATTCTTCACCCAGATCTACGGCTTCAATCTTCAGCTAAACCTTCTGCTTCAATGTTCACCTAAACCTTCGGCTGAAATATTCACCTACACCTTCGGCTTGAATATTCTCCTAAATCTTCAATTTAAATGTTCACTCAGATATCCGGCTTAAATGTTCACCTAAATCTACGGCTTAAATCTTCACCAAAATCTTTGCCTTAATTCGTCACTCAAATCTTCTGCTGAAATCTTCGCCTAAATCTGCGGATTATTCACCGAAATCTTCAATCAAATATTCACTCAAATCTTCGGCTGAAGTCGTCATCCAATTATTCGGCATAAATATTCACCCAAACCTTTTGCTCAAATCGTCACCTAAACATTTGGCTGAAATCTGCACCTGAAACTGCAGCCAAATCTTGGGATCCACTATCAACTCGCACCCTCGTCTAAAATATGCACCCAAATCGTTAGCTTACATCTTTTCCTAAAACTGCGGCTTACATCTTCATCAAAATATTGTGCTTGAATCTTCACTCAAATCTTCGTCTTAAATCTTCACCCGCAGATTCTGTTTAAATGTTTACCTAAATAGTATCCTAAATCTGCATCCGCATCTTCGAATCAAATCAGATTCGAAATATTCGGCTTACATATTCGCCCAAGTATTCGGCTTAAGTCTGCGCCTAGATCTGCGTCTTAACTCTTCATCCAAATCTTCGGCTTAAAACTTCACTCAGATCTGCGGCTGAAATTTACACCTAAATCTTCGGCGTGAAAAGCTACCTAAATCGCCGGCCTAAACCGTCACGCCTAATTTGTGCTGAAATATTCAGTCAAATCTTCGGCTGACATATTCACCTAAAACTCCGGCTTAAATATTCACCTAAATCTCCAGCTTAAATATTCACTCAAATCTTCGGCTTAAATCTTCACTCGAATCTTCGGAGTATATCTTCACCCAAATCTTCGGCTGAAATCTTCACCTGGATCTCCAGCTTAAATCTTCACCCAAATCTTCGGCTTAAATATCCACTCGAATCTTGGGCCTAAATCAAAAACTAACCTCCTGCTTAAAGGTTCACCTGAATCTTCGGCTCAAATATTCACCGAAATCTTCGGGTTAAATCTTCACTTAAATCTTCGGTTGAACTCTTCAACTAAATATCCGGCTCAAATATTCAACTAAATATGAGACTTAAATCTTCACATAAGTCTTCGGCTTGAATATTAATCTCAATCTTCGGCTTAAATATTCACTCAACTCTTCGTATCAAATATTCATTGACACTTTCTGCTTAGATCTTCACCTAAACCTTCAACATAAATTTTCACCATAATCTGCACCTTAAATCATCTTCGGCTTGAATATGCACCTAAGTATTCGGCTCAAATGTTCACCAAAGTCTACTGCTTAAATCTTAACCCAAATCTTCGCCTTAAATCGTCACTCGAATCTTCAGCTGAAATCTTCGGCTTAGATCTTCACCCAAATCTTCGGCCTGAATCTTCGCCTGAATCTTCGGCTCAAATCTTCACTCGATTTTTCGGCTCAAATTTTCACCTAAACCTTCGGCTTTAATCTTCACCTAAATCTTCGAAGAGGAGAGGTGAAGTGTGTATATACATCTATATATATATATATACACACACTTGTTTCGGGGGGGGGGGGGGGATGGGGGTCCGTGTGATTTTGTTCGCTCAGGCCTGGGTCTGGTTTCTATTGCTTTGCTTTTCCTAGCGTGTTTTTCTGTCTGGTTTCTCAGCCCCCAAGAGGATGGGTTGGAAACAGGGAAGGACGAAGAGGAATGGGGAAACGATGGGAAAGCTGGGAAGACGGGGAGTGGATAAAAGGGATAGGCCGGAGGAGCGAAACGGAATTGAAAAAAGAGCGGTTCCTTTTCCAACCTTTGGAGGACCGAACGAACGCCGCATCAGCAAAAATTTCAAAATCGCGGGATCTGAAACCGAACCGAAATCCATAGCCGAGACCAACCAAGGAGGAGGAGGACGAGGGAAGAAGAGGAGGAGACGGATGAAGAGAAGGGGGCAGATTCAAAACAAAAACGTTATCGTTGACTAGAGAAACTGGGCCTCCGCGCGCGCATCTCAGAACACAAGGGACTACAACAATAACATCAACAAAAGCATGGAGGCGGACGAGGGAAGAAGAGGAGGAGACGGAGGAGGAGAAAGGGGCAATTCAAAAAAAACATGATCGCTGACTAGAGAAACGGGCCTCCGCGCGCGCATCTCACAAAACATGAGATCACAAAATGCATGCGCGGACACGAGTCAGAATTGGTCTTCGGGCAAGCGCTCTGGAAAAACATTGTCGTAGAGAAGGAAAGCTTGGACCCGTCGCGCACGCGGGAATACATAGGATTACATAATACATGCTCGCCGACTAGGCAAAATCATCTCTCTCGCTCGTGCGCAAACCATGTATCAAAAACGTCTCTGTAAGGGAGCTGGAACAGAAAACCTCGCTTCGAGTCTGCCGGGATCTGGGTTGCGGTGAACGCATTGGGTAAGGAGCCCTTGGATAAGGAGCCCTTGGATAAGGATCCCAAGGCCTGAAAGCTGGTGGGACACCCATCGAGGCTGGACCATGGATATCACGGCCACCCTCATCATATAAGGAGTCCTCCAAGGTTGTAGGACCCAAAGAGCTGCATAAACAGCTTTCGGAGGTCCGCCCAGATTTCCGCGGAGCGCACCAGGGGCGGCGCCGGAAGCGCCGCCAACGGGGCCCCGGCGCCGACCCAACAGACCCGCGCGAAGCTCCAGGACTTTCTGTTCAGGCAGATTCTCGCTTTTTCGATCGGTGTGAAGCCTCGTGGGCACACTCCTTAACGAACGCCCCCGCCGCCTGAGGAAAATCCTGGAGGCCCTGCGCGGCACCTTGAGACCCAGCTCACGTCGGTTGCATGTCTGATCCTCGCCGGGATCACGTCGAAGTTACGCCGGATGTGCGTCGGGACGTCGCCGCGCCAACGCCGTCCCATATCTGACGGGCCGCAAGAGCGGACAATTAAACTATTGCGCGCCGCGCCCATTTCTTAATTCCGCCTGCCGGCCCCGCTGCCCCGCCCCCCGCGTCACCATCCGCGCCAGCGCCGTCTGGGAACCAGCCCCTCCCCAGCATTCCTGGACGGCGCCGGCGCGAAGCGTGACGTGACGGAGCCCGCTCCCCCACCCCCCCCCCAAAGTTCCGCCCCCGTGATCGCCAAGGGATACGAAACCGACTGCCCCGAGGCAGGCAGCGCATCGGAGCATCGAGGGGGGCCCGCCTGAAGCGCTGCCGCGGCTGCGGCTGCAGGCCGTAGCAGCGCGGGCCGCTGCTGGCAGACCCCCGCAGCTGCTGCTGCGCCCGGCCCTCCACCTTCTGCTCGTCCGGGGCGGCCTCCTCGGCAGACGTCGGGGCGGCGTCAATGAAGGGGCCCCAGGACACACAAATAAATACACACAAATAAAAATATTCCCCATATTTTCTATATTTTCTGGGCTTCTGTCTTCCCAACCACTTCCCATATTTTCCCATATTTTCTGGGGAATCGAGGATTAATTGTGTCTGTGTGTTTCTTTTCCTCCTGAGTCAACCCTGAATGATCGCGGCGCCCCGACAGCGCAAAGCGTCCCATGTCGGCCCCTGCCGCGCTACCGGCGGCTCTCAGCTTGGAACGCCCGCGCTGGGCGCCGCCGCAGGATCGGCGCGGCACAGGCCTGCCGTGGCACGCGAGCTGCGGATGCGGCTGAACTGCGGATGCGGCCGAAGGAAAGCCTGTGCAACAACAGCGCCCGACCTAGAAATAACAGAATCCCCCCCTCCACCCTGGCCTTCACATACGCAGGTATTGCGTTGGAGATGTCGGAACGAGCGCGATCCACCGTCGCAGTTCTTTGAAAAATCGAATCGGGGCGTCAGAGACCATGGCCCTCCCCTCCCCCTGAAACAAAAAACAACAATAGGGGGGGATCACAAACTAAGGGCCCCCCCCGTACCCCAAACGCGCCGCAAAGAACAGGGGGGTCCAGACCCCCCCCCCTGGAAAATTATTTTCGAAGGGTCCAAACTCCCCCTCCCAACCCAATCCCCACCCAGGCAACGACGACGACGACGTCACCGCCTTCGCCGGCAAACGACGAGGACTACGACGGCGACGACGACCATTACGACGACGCCGCCGCCGCCGACGACGACGACAGCGACTCAGACGACGACGACGACGACGACGCCGTCGACGACGACGACGCATACGACGACGGCGACGACGCATACGACGACGCCGACGACGGCGACAACGTCAGCGGCGGCGGTGCACCTGTCGCCAACCCCCGCGCCGGGCGCCAGTTCCTATAGAATGCTACGACGCCTCGATCCAGCTCTAATAGAATCCTGTTAGAATTCGCTCCACTTCTAGTCGAATCCTACACGGGCTGGATCCAATTCCAGACGAATTTCTACAGGGCTGTATCCAACTCCAATCGACTCCGACTACGGTTCGACCCAGCTCGAATAAAATCCTGCTAAGGTCCGATCCAGCTCTAGGAGAATTCATGCTTGTTGGGCTGGATCCAGCTCTATGCGAATCCTATTAGATTTGGATCACGCTCTAATTCAATATTACAAAGCCTCGGCCCAGCCTTAACATATAATCTTAGTAGGGCTGGACACAGCTCTACTCGATCCAGCTGGCATGGCGTCACACGAAGACTCGATCCAGCTTGAACGGATCCAGCTAGACTAAAATCATGGTAGGGTTCGATCAAACTCGATTGCAATCCGAGTATGATTACGCCCAGTTCTAAGATAATATTACTAGGTATCGATCCAGCTCGAATCGAATCCAAATGGGGGGGATCTTGCTCAAACAGAATTCTTATAGTGCTGGATCAGGCGATCATCGAATATTACGAGTGCTCGATCCAGCTCCATCAGAATCCTGTTACGGTTCCATCCAAGACAACTCGCATCCTGCTAGGAGTCGATCCAGCTCTTCCAGAATCCTGCCAGGGGTGGACCCAGCCTTCATAGAATCCTACGGGGGTTCGATCCAGCTCTGACCTAATCCTACCAGGGCTGGATCCAGCTCCAAAAATCGTACGAATTACGGCTCGATCCAGCTCTACCAAAATCCTACTACGGTCGGGTCCAGCTGAAGTAGAATCAGATCAGGGGTGGATCCAGACCTGGTGGAATCCGACTAAAGTTCGATCCAGCATTATGCAAGATCCTTGTAAAGTTGCCTCCAGCTCTGATAGAATTCGTCTAGCTATGGATCCAGATCTAAAAGACTAGAACCACGCGCGCGCTTCGCGCGCGCTTAGGTTCTGTCGAGTCACAGACCCAGGAATCGTTGCGAGAAGAAATTGGTGACGCGAAGCGTCTTGGGGGCGTCCTTGGACGTCTGGGGTCTCCTGGGGCCTCTTGAGGGGCCTCCTGATGGCCTCCTGGCGGCCTCTTGGGGCGGAAGGCTCGAGCTTGCGGTTCGTGGTCCCCCTCTGGGCCCCCTCTTGGGCCCGTCTTGGGGCCCTCTTGGGCCATCTTGGGCGCCTCTTGGGCCGTCTTGGGGCCCTCTTGGGCTGTCCTGGGGCCCTCTTGGAAGCTTCTTGGGCCGTCTTGGGGCGGTCTTGGGCGCCTCTTGGGCCGTCCTGTAACGTCGGAAAACCCAAAAGACAACTTTGTTGAAAATGTACGTTTTACGAAGGGAATGGGCCAATTTTTGCGTCTAGGGGCCCTCTTGGGACGCATGTTGGAGGCTTCTTGGGGCCTCTTGGGGGCGTCCTTGGACGTCTGGGGTCTCCTGGGGCCTCTTGAGGGGCCTCCTGGGGGCCTCCTGGCGGCCTCTTGGGGCGGAAGGCTCGAGCTTGCGGTTCGTGGTCCCCCTCTGGGCCCCCTCTTGGGCCCGTCTTGGGGCCCTCTTGGGCCATCTTGGGCGCCTCTTGGGCCGTCTTGGGGCCCTCTTGGGCTGTCCTGGGGCCCTCTGGGAAGCTTCTTGGGCCGTCTTGGGGCGGTCTTGGGCGCCTCTTGGGCCGTCCTGTAACGTCGGAAAGCCCAAAAGGCGACTTTGTTAAAAATGTACGTTTTACGAAAGGAATGGGCCAATTATTGCGTCTAGGGGCCCTCTTGGGACGCATGTTGGAGGCTTCTTGGGGCCTCTTGGGGGCGTCCTTGGACGTCTGGGGTCTCCTGGGGCCTCTTGAGGGGCCTCCTGGGGGCCTCCTGGCGGCCTCTTGGGGCGGAAGGCTCGAGCTTGCGGTTCGTGGTCCCCCTCTGGGCCCCCTCTTGGGCCCGTCTTGGGGCCCTCTTGGGCCATCTTGGGCGCCTCTTGGGCCGTCTTGGGGCCCTCTTGGGCTGTCCTGGGGCCCTCTGGGAAACTTCTTGGGCCGTCTTGGGGCGGTCTTGGGCGCCTCTTGGGCCGTCCTGTAACGTCGGAAAGCCCAAAAGGCGACTTTGTTAAAAATGTACGTTTTACGAAGGGAATGGGCCAATTCTTGCGTCTAGGGGCCCTCTTGGGACGCATGTTGGAGGCTTCTTGGAGCCTCTTGGGGGCGTCCTTGGACGTCTGGGGTCTCCTGGGGCCTCTTGAGGGGCCTCCTGGGGGCCTCCTGGCGGCCTCTTGGGGCGGAAGGCTCGAGCTTGCGGTTCGTGGTCCCCCTCTGGGCCCCCTCTTGGGCCCGTCTTGGGGCCCTCTTGGGCCATCTTGGGCGCCTCTTGGGCCGTCTTGGGGCCCTCTTGGGCTGTCCTGGGGCCCTCTGGAAGCTTCTTGGGCCGTCTTGGGGCGGTCTTGGGCGCCTCTTGGGCCGTCCTGTAACGTCGGAAAGCCCAAAAGACAACTTTGTTGAAAATGTACGTTTTACGAAGGGAATGGGCCAATTTTTGCGTCTAGGGGCCCTCTTGGGACGCATGTTGGAGGCTTCTTGGGGCCTCTTGGGGGCGTCCTTGGACGTCTGGAGGCCATCTTCAGCATCTCGGAGCCCTCTTGGAGGCCTCTTGGAAGTTTCTTGGGCCGTCTTGGGCGCTTCTTGGGCCGTCTTGTCTGACTGGGGAGGCCTCCGGCAAGCCCCGACGAGCCTCCGGGCCCCCCGGGGCGCACATTTGTGGTCGAGGTCCCGGCCCCGGGCCCCCGGACCCGGTGCGCCGTTATATGTATAATCCTACAAGGGCTGGATCCAGCTCTACTAGAATCCCATTAGGCCCGGATCCAGCTTACATACATTCCTACTACGGCTGGATCAAGCTTGAATCGCTTCCCACTCGGGCTCCTCGTCTTCGCCATCGTCGTCGTCCATCGTCGTCGCCGTCGCTGTCGTCGTCGTCGTCCGTCGTCCGTCGTCCGTCATGGTCGTCGTCCGTAGTCGTTCATCCACTGTCCGTACGTCTTCCTCCTGGTGATCGTCGTCGGCGTCGTCGTCGGCGTCGTCGACGGCGTCGTCGTCGTCCGTCGTCGTCCGTCGTCGTCGTCGTCCCCGTTGTCTGCGTCGTCGTCGTCGTCGTAATGGTCGTCGTCATCATCGCAATCGTCGTAGTCGTCGCCATCTTCGTCGTCACCAGCGGCGGCGTCGTTGTGACCATCGTCGTCTCCGGCGGCGTCGGCGACGACGTCGTCGCCGCTGCCCCGGAAAAAGGGGGATCTGGACCCCTCGCGTAGTTTTCCCGGGGGGAGGGGGTGCTGGACCCCTCCGAATCATTTTCCAGGAGGAGGCGGGTCCGGACCCCTCCCTTCCCCCCAAGGGGGGGTGGGCCCCCCGACCATGCCAGTCGCGAACGACGGCGCTGCTGCAGACGCTGGGTTCAGGCGTTTTTGGGCCCCGCTTCTTCGGGAACGCAGGCAAGAGGGGATACAAGAGGGCAAACCGAATCGTGCCGCTCCCTCCCCCCGCCCTCGGCATGTGAGACGGATGGAAGCCCTGGCATCACTCCCGCCACTCCCCGAAGTAGCAGGGTACCGTCCTGAGTCACCATGCGCTCTGCCAGAGCTGCATGGCAAGTCCCACACGAGGACGGCAGTGGTGCCGACTCGACCTGCGGAGCAGCCCGAAGACGGTTTTGTGCAACTTGCCTCTGATGTGCAGCTGCTCGGGCGTGGAACCGAAAAGAGGTTGAAGAGGTTGCAAGCGTCTCGGGTGGTGCTTGATTACAGGATAGCTCGCAGATGTCCAGTGGACCGCTCCGAGGCTGCAATACAGGACCATCGCACCCGAGCCTCGATCATTTCGAGACTCCAGGAGTTCTGGGGCTCTCCTCGCGCCAGGCTGGCGTGAGTCGCCCAGTCTCGCCGCAAGGCCCTGATGGCCGTCTGGCGGCCTGGCGGTCAGCCCCTGCAGGCGTCGCCGGCCTGACTGCGCGACGCCCGGGGCCCTCGCTCTCGGCAGCCGCTGCCGCAGGGCAGGTGGCCTCCTTTC